GAGACCGGATTTAGAATTAAACAAGAGCTCAAGTACTGGCTTCATGGGTTGATGTAGAATTCCCATTCAGGTTCAAGTCTGAGGTTCCTGAAAACTGAGAAAAGTTTTGCAAAAAACAAGCATTCTCGGTTGTGGCTGAAGTTTTGGCTTTAGATTATAATCAAATGATAAACATGTAGAGGTTAGTCTAGATCCAAATCAAACTTCCATCCAAATTGAGAGGTATTTCAGATTTATATTCTGGCCTACTTACACGTGATCTTACTTTGTTCTAGCTCATTTCTGTCATCTGTTTTAAGCGCTGCAGGCGGTGCTGCTATATTTCAGCAATGCTAAGCTATCTGCTGAGCTATCAGCTAAGCTATGAGGTTGCATTGAATGTTATGCAGCAGCCCTTCTGCACTGCACGCTGCCATAGTGTAGTCTCGCACCTGATGACTCTTCCGGAGAATCCAGCAGATGCTCTCCTGGCAGCAGTCGGACCTGACCTTGCACACAGTCATTCCTTGGTTATCTCTGGGTTTGCAATGAGTGGTGGCAGGACTGAAAAGAGCAGAGCTGATTAGGGCCCTGGGCCCTTACCCTGTTGAGATTTACTGCTGTAAAGTGTCAATGAGTATTTTACTGGACTTACTAGGGGAAGAGCACAGGGCAGATTTAGGCTTGGGATACTGCTAAACTTCCTGAGCTTTGCTGAAATGGCACCTCCGTGTGCATTTTCCAGACACTACCATCCTCAAACTCATGGGACAAAGGTAAAATCTGTGTTAGTAAACTTTCTTAAAAAGTGCCATACAATCATAGATCATTAAGGTTGGAAAAGACCTCTAAGATGCAGCCTGATGAGTTTCTTTAACAGCAACAACCATTAAAAAGTGATTTTAAAAATTCTGCAATGTAGAAACACATTGCCTAGGTTGTCTGCGTGTGTGCAGACAACATGCAGCTTTTATGCTGCAGCTGCTGAGTTGCACAATCCAGCCATAATATTGCAGTGATGCCTGTAAAGCTTTTATAGATACTTAGCTCCTCTTCACCTCTTACTCCTGCTGTCTGTGGTCCTTTTATCTCCCTTCAGCTCCTCTGTTGTGTTTCCTTTGCTCCACCAGAGTGTTCAGAAAGTAAATCAGTTCAATTTCTCTCTCTCCTCTCAAGTCATATTTCAAGACTTGGTCTTTACTTTTGAGGAGGTCAGTATTTCAGTTCTTCACGATAAGGGCTGCGACTACCAGAGAACTCCCTACCACTCCTCACCTGTGCAGGAGGCAGGACTTGTTCCAGTACTGTCCTGTGGATGAATCTGCTCTTTGCAATGGGGACCTCTGAGAGAGTGCTGGCCCAGGTTGGAAAGCCCACGGGATGCAGCACATCCCTTTTCAGAGGTAGCAGCTCATTTTTGAAAGCAGTACTATGATGCTTGCTCGCTGTTAGCCCTCAGCTGATGAACTTGCCTCTGTAACACAAACTGAAGGCTTGTCCATGCAGAGGGAAGAGCTTTCTCATGCTATTCGGAGACTGTAGGAAAAAAGGTTCACCCTTTTTCTTCTAATGATGTTGCAGATTATCACCACTCTCCACTCCGAGTACCAGCAGCACATCTTCAGCCTGCCTTCTCTGTTTCAAAAAAAGAATGCTGTAAATTTAAATTACACTCTCTACCTGACATAACCCTGACCAGACCCTACAAAAACCAGTACCTTTGGAGGCACCTAACCTCCTGTTTGAGCAGAGGGTGGCAGAGAGAATGACCCACTCATGAGAGAAGTGATTCATGCCTATCAAGGTGCTCAGAAGCTGTGGTGATGCAACAGGCTAACAACACCAGGGACTCGGGGACGTCCTGCCATCGCTTGGTCTTGGGACACTGTGTTATACTGAGATGTTACGCTAGATGGTGCATTCGACAAATTATTTGAAGAGATTGGTCTTCCCATGCTGAAAGCTTTTGGTGCGAGGCTGACCGTAACAAGCCCATTCGCTGTGTACACACAGTACCTCCTTTTCATAACTTTTCACAAAGTTGACCCTTCCGTGCAAGAGTTGAATGCGACCACAGCTGCCAAGGCAGCACTTTGAGACTTTGGCATTTATGCCTGTAGGTCTGGGGGATTTTTTTGCCCATCACAGATCTTTGACTAATTCACAAGTCACTTGGAAACAAGCAAACCGTAATGGCATATTGAGTTTGAGGGATGCTTGAGTTTGGATAGAGGAAAGATCTGTTAGAAAATATCTGATATTCCTTATTAACCTGCATTTCCCATATCCCATCAATCTAGGTGAATTAAATGGAACTGAAGATGTGCACATATTGATTTATTTGCTGGAGAGTAAATATTGATTTATTTGCTCCGTGGCCAGATACCTTTGCCATAGGGCAGTGCTTCTAATGAGGAGTGATGGCTTCCCTTCCCCTTCCCAGAAGGGAGGATTAGCCTGCGGGCTGGCCTGTGGGACAGTGCGTACAGGGCAGAGACCCCTGCGTCAAGGGGATTAGTTCCTGCCCTTCCCGTTGGGTGTGTGGAAGCCCTTCTGTATTCAGGTTTTGGAGCAGGGGAGCAGGCAGCGCAGCAAGCAGCACACACATTGCTGGGAACTGTTGCCACTTTCACCAAGGAGCTCAGAAGAGCTGTCCGGGCTGGAGGTGCAGGCAGCGGGTGTGATCTGGGAGCTCTGGAGGGTTGCAGATCCTTCTTGCAGGTAGCAAAAAGAGTGCTAAAGCACGTCCTGCCCCTTTGTGAATCTTTCTTTGGGACGTATATTAGGGCAGAAATCACTAGGTGGTGCTGTTACACGTAATTCTTACACTTATTCTTGGTATCCACGTATTTTCTGTCTTTGGAGAAACGGTTCCTGTTGGGGTTGGGTTACGGTAGCTCTTTGAAAAGCTGCTGAAATAGAGGAAAGTAGCAGGCAGCAGTAGCTAGCTGGAAGGGAGTGTAGCTTCTTCAGACCCTCGTATCTGCGCTTTGGGTGAGATTTCTGGAGGAAGAGACTGAGCACACAGGTAGCACCCACCCTCTTCCTAGGAGAAGTGGGTGTGCTCAAGTCCGGCACCCTTCCCCATTGAAAACTCAGCCTCGAGGGCCCTGGATTTCTGTTTCCTCCGGAGTGACAGCAGTGCGCCCAGGCACAGCGCTCTCCTAGTTTACATGGAAAAAATCAGATGAATTTCACAAAAACGGAAATGTTAGTAAGAAGAGTTGCCTTCCAGGGTCATAAGTGGATAAGTAAATTAATGTCAGAAGAGATTAGGAATTTCCTGAATGTGAATTCTTTAGAAAAGGAACTGGCTCAAGTTATAATTTATTTCTAAACTTTTTCTTATTTAGAGAGACTTTTAAGCACCTTAGATATCAAATTTATTTTCTGATGGTTTGGAACTTTTATTTGTGGTATTATTTAAAATAAATATGCCTTGACTGTTTCTATTTATTAAAAATCGGTATAGTTTAAATGGAAACACACACATACATATGAGTATGTTGTATGTAATTAGGTAGATCCTACATATTGTACAAATGTACACATAGTTCCCATCACTTTGTTCTCACACCAGGAGTAACTTTAGGAGATTATTGGGAAACCAGACAATGAAACTCATCATTAACAGAGAGGAGAGACCTGTTCTATCCTCCTCTTAGCGACTAATCTCTGGCAAACCATCTGACCTTTTTTTTTACCCCTTTACCTCCCACTCTTTGCCTTAGTTGTCTGGTTTAGGCCTTCATTCTTCAGATGTTTACTACTTACTGCATATGTAACCATGTATTTTAATATTTTCAAGGTTGGGCCTTAGACCTTGCCTACCAGGAAGAAATTATGCTGAATTAACTGTACTGATTTAGAAACTGATTTAGTTAAATCAGTGCAACTCTCCCGAGCACTTTATATCACGTCAGTTTAAGCCATGAGTCAGTGAGTAACAAATCAATTCTGTTGGCAGAGAGTGAGAAAGATTAGACTGGATCTTCAGCCCTTCCATCTCAGTATTTATTAGGCTAAGGCCTCTTCAGGGCTTGTTGCTGTTCTCTTTAATTTTCCCTGCCTAATGGACCTGATCCAGCTCTTGACGTAAATGAGGGTTTTTCCATGACCTCCAGCTGGGACCTGGAGATGGCAATATCTTTATTAAAAACCTAGAGAAGCTTAGAATGACAAATAACTCAAACCTGCCTCCTCACTGCATACAGAGTTCTCAGATTGTGGCTCATATTGCAAAAATCGCCTCTGATCTGAAAAAAGTAATATTCTGCATTCAGGGCAGGAAAATTCATCCTCTAAAGACAGCAATCTCTACTTACATTATGCTAAGAGTATCACCATACAAAGAGTCATAATCTAAGCAGCAGCTAAGTAAGATCTCTCATATATATTGAGATGGGATGAAAACAATCTTTCTGCCAGTCTCCACAGATTTTGTGCATTCAGGTTGGATAAACTCAGGACTCAGGTTATTCCTGGTTTTGTACTGGCTTAACCAGAAACTAGACTGATGTTGCACTTCCAAATCAAAAAGCACGGATTTTTCAAAATGCATTTCAAAAAGTGCTTGATTTTTTTTTTTGCTGTTCTCCTTCTCTACCTTTCTTCACACTTTTACAAACTACTACTAATAAATTAGAAGGGTATCTGAGAATATGCTGAACAAGAATAAGCTGAGTTCCACTCACTGAAAATTTTGCTTACTGTTCCCAAAGCTTCTTATTCCTGGCTGTAGAGAGTAGCACTGTAGCAGGAGTTGAACGTTTGGAGTGTCTGTCTATTCCAGAAAAGAGTAACTCACTTGTTTATGAACCTAAGATTTTGGTTTAGTGCAAAGTCATTTTCTTCTTTCTGAACTAGGTGTTAATAAAGCTGTAAACTCCATAACTGACAATGTCCTGGCATGCTCTTACAATTCACCTACAGCTCCTAGAAGTCTTTATATTGTAAGTAGTGATGCCCCTTTTCATTTCCATCTCTATTCCAAATGCGATTTCTTGTATACTTTACAGGGTTATGATGGAACTTACATCTTTGCCTAAATTCCTTTGGACAAGTGACAACAAACTGCTGCATCACCATTTTCCGGACATATTGGCTACTGTTCATACCACACAAGACATTCCCGAAGAAGTTGTTTTTGGACCGTGCATGCTCCAGAACACCCTGCTGGACACTGTAGCTTTTATTGCTCTCAAGTGTTCTGATAGACGGAACATCCATTATGTATTTAAGGTAGGAGAAATCAGCATTTAATGTTAGTCATATCAAAAAGGGTTACACTGTCCCTGAGAAGGTGACTTTGCCAAGGGGTAGGTTTTTGTTTTGTTCAGCACAACTAACAGCTCCTTCAAAGGGGAGAAGTAGCCAGTGCATTTCTGATTTATGAGCTGTAAACTGGAGGGACCTTAGTGAAAACTGTTTCCTTTGCAGGAAGAATACAAAGTCCCACTTCCATGCTGATGATAGATGACCTGCTTCAGCACTGACCGGGAATAGGAGGACAGAGGGACAAATAGTTTAGAAACTTCACGCTCAGGTTTTGTCCTTACAAAGGACAATGGAGGCTTCTCAGGAGGTGTGACAGCCCTGTGAGAGCAGAGAGGGAAGACTGTGGCATTGCACTGATTCATGCAGGTGGTACATTCGCAGCATTCATTGATGGATCTGAGCAAGCATTAACCCAGTTTGCTCAGTTATCCATAAAGTGAAATCACAATGGCAGTGATCTCTGCACAGGCTGTATGAACTGTAGAAGATATCAGTCAGGCAACTAGTCCACACAATCTTCAGGCAGCCACAACTTATTGCTATTAGTACATGGACCTCCTAAAGTTACCTTAGGTATGTCTGTCTGTGTTACAGCTGCACTTTTCAATCACTGCAGAGAAGCCACAGAGATACATCTGTGAAACAAAAGGAAT